GGAACGAAAGAATTCCGTCGTATTTGAAATGATTTTCAAGAGCTTTCTGCCAACAGGCGGTCGAACTTTCATTTTTTGTGCAACGTCGTGTCCGATCGGAGGCTAAAGTTCGACTCGAGAACGGAAACTGGGTTAGAAACGCAGAATCGGCTTTTATCAAACCGAGACGATGATCCGCGCGACGAGCGTGACTGGATATTATAGGGCAAGGGGTTTAATGTTGTGCAAAATAGGTAACGATCGATACCTCGCCGGAGCGATAGGGACGACAAATCACGTAGATCAGATCAGATCGTAGATCTGTTGCCAGGCTGGTGAAATCCGCCAGGGCGAAGTCTCTCTGACGAGACTTTGTTCCACCGTTGATAATCACCGGTGTTTAAAACGTTATCTAAAAATGAACTGGAATGTAGGCCGTGTCCACATTTAGCAGTCGCGCGGAAGCCGCGAGCATAGAAAGGGTCGTTACTTTCGTGGCAGTAATCAGGTTAATGGAGTATCGTGGCCCACTTTATTTTTTTTTCCCCCCTTTCTTTCTTCCTTTTTTTGTTCATCTTCATCGGCTCCGCGCGTCTCCGCAACTTTTCCCGCCTCCCTATTCGTATCTCTTTCTTTCTTCGTATCTCAGAGTCAATGATGCATTACCGTCCGAAGATTTCGCCAACCCTCGGAACATTCTTGGAGATTCTTCTTTTCTTCTCCTTCCTCGGCAACGCGTATTGTCTTCCACGATGCACGCTCGTGCTTCGACAAAGAAGTACATTCGACCTGCTCTCGAAAAAAAAAAAAAAAAAAAAAGAAAGAAACGGTGTAAAGGATTCCACGTGCAACGCGTACTATCAGAATTTAACGGCCGGTAGAACTAAAATTCCCCTTTTCGAAGAACGAAAAAAGAAAAGAAAAGGAAAAAAAAAAATTACACTCGTCGTCCGGTTTGGAGGATTGGAGCATTCGATACTGCCATATCAACTCCGTTCTCAAATCGGAATCGCGGATCGTTAATCGACGATTTCCCCATTAAGCGGCAGGTGTTTAATTAGAGTTGGCGAAACGTCAGCGAATTTTCGCGCCCCTGCGCTAGTCTTTGGAGGGGGGGGGGTGAGCAGATGGCGAGACGCGGCGAGGCAGAGTGTACCGGAAGTCGAGAGGGTACAATGGTCGGACAGGGCAGGCCTCCTGAAAACTGAGCCAGAGGAGGGTGATTCCTTTCGGTCTGAAAGGATACGAAGAGATTACGTCGGCAGGCTCGTTCCGCTGAGTGTTCAGTTTGCTTTGGGATATCGGCTTTCGACCCCTCGCGAATTCTCCGCGCGAGTTTGCCGAAAGCTTTGTGCTGGTCAAGCCGATTGTGACATGCCTCCCCCAAACTCCCGCGGAAAACTCGCCAGTTCGATGGAAATAGAGAAAAGTCTCGGCGACTCTCATCCGACATTTGTGAAAGAATTCACGTCCCTCCCACCCACCAGGTCGCCGCTCACCGTGCTCACAGCGTCGTCCTACATGTGTACTTGAACAGAGTCACTGTCATGTGTCTCTTCGGGGCCTTTCAATCTCTTTCCTCTTCGCCTCCGGTCGAATCTTGTCGATAAGATGGGCCGCCGTGGCTGTCGAATTTACGCGATCTTAGCGCTCCCAGTTTCGTTGGAAATTTCATCAACATCCACTGATCTCGCAATTCGTGTCGTCATATCATTGACTGTTTGTC